CATTTTTTTTCCTTGTAAACAAAGTCTCACCAGTAGTCATTACAAGAACAAGACCCACCCTTAAAATGGTGAAAACGGGTCGCATCACGAACCACAAAGCGACGATTCTCCACAAATCTGCTGACCGATTTTATAAACACGTGACAGTTTTCACATATCCTCAGATTCTTAATAACGAGAATATCCTCCTCTTCCGAACACGAATTCAAGAGCGCGAATGCAACTGCCAATCTCTCGCTATGATGCATAGATTGATAATCCCTTTGCTTCTTTTCATCATCCTCTTTTGCGTACACTAAATCCTCCAACTCCCCCAACATTTTACAAATCTCTTTCGTTTGAGGGTGACTTTTATCCCCGGCCACAAACAGATGTATTTTACCTTTATGCTCGACATAGCTATAACCGGGATCTTTTTTCAGTCCCCGTTCTCTCATCATCACCCGAACCCTCAGCACGCCTTCTTTATTACCCGTCTCGGTATAAATATTCGATAATAGAACATAATAACCTATATTCATGGGCTCAAGCTCAATCACTTTATCGAAAGCCAGCTCAGCCAAGCCCACATTTTTATGGATCTTGCAGGCACCCAATAAAGCTCCCCATATGGACCCATCGGGCTCCATCGGCATTGACATGATCACGTTTTCAGCCTCGACTAGTCGACCCGCCCGGCCCAAAAGGTCCACAACGCAAGAATAGTGTTCCGGGCCAGGGACCAGATTGTAATTTTTCTCCATCGAGTAAAAATAATCCAACCCTTTTTCCGTGAGCCCCGCATGGCTGCATGCGGTTAAAACACAAACGAAAACAGCTTTATCTGGCCAGACGCTTGCCAAAATCATACGATCAAAAAGCTCGACAGCGATAATTCCATGGCCGTGCATCCCATAGCCGCCTATGATAGCTGTCCAAGACACCAAATTTTTATCCGGGAGTGAATCGAAAATAGCTCTCGCCTTTCTCAAGTCACCACACCTAGCATACATGCTAATCAACGAATTATTCAAATACGGATTAAGCACAAACCCACGATTTATTATCATTTGTTCCACTTCGACACCGATTTTTCGTGCGCCGAGATTAGCGCAAGATGACAGGACGCCGACAAGTGTCACCTCGTCAGGGCACACACCAAACAATTTCATATCTTCGTACAAATCCAAAA